AATGTGATACTGGTTTATAAGCATTTTCCTGTGCTAAGATGTTTTGGGAGCACTTGGAGGTGGGCAATCAAATTTTATCCCAGTTTACTTAGTTTCACCCAAGTCTTTTTCCCTCTTCTAGGGCCCATGGAGGTTGATTTACAAAAAGTGTAGAGTGCAAAATCTGGTACAGCTGTGCGTTGTAGCCAATCGGCTTTTAACTAATTTGTTCAATTACACCATGTTCCAAATGATTATGCAAATTATATTTTTTTCATTTACCTAAATAATTGATGTAAATAACAGTCAGCATAATTCTCATGTTATCAACTATTAAGAGTACAATTCAAATTTTATTGAACAAACCTCCTAATGATAACAGTATTTTTTTAAACATAAAAAACTTACAATGCACTGTTCCAAATTATTACGCACAGTAAGTTTCAAAACACTTTATAGGTTGTAAAGAACTGAAAATTGTAATTTGTTGTGTTTGCAGCATATTTACTGAAATCAAAAGCTATTTCAATCAAACTTTTAACAACATTTTAACTTTTTAAACATTTTAACAGGTCACGTTACATGTTAACATAGGACCCCTTATTTGATAGCAGCTTCACAAGTCTTGCATCCATTGAACTTGTGAGTTTTTGGACAGTTTCTGCTTGAACTTGTTTGCAAGATGTCAGAATAGCCTCCCAGAGCTGCTGTTTGGATGTAAACTGCCTCCCACCCTCATAGATCTTTTGCTTGAGGATGCTCCAAAGGTTCTCAGTAGGATTGAGGTCAGGGGAGGATGGAGGCCACACCATGACTTTCTCTCCTTTTATCCCCATAGCAGCCATTGATGCAGAGGTATTTTTTACAGCATGAGATGGTGCATTGTCATGCATGAAGATGATTTTATTATGGAAAGCATAGTTCTTCCTTCTGTACCAGGGAAGAAAGCGGTCAGTCATAAACTCCACATACTTTGCAGAGGTCATTTTTACACCTCCGGGGACCCTAAAGGGGCCGACCAGCTCTGTTCCCATGATTCTGGCGCAAAACATGACTCCACCACCGCCTTGCTGATGTCGCAGCCTTGTTGGAACAGGGTGGCCGACTACCAACCATCCACTACTCCATCCATGTGGACCATCCAGGGTTGCACAGCACTCATCAGTGAACAGGGCTGTTTGAAAATTAGTCTTCATGTATTTTTCTGCCCAATGCAGCCGTTTCTGCTTGTGAGCATTGGTTGGTGGTGGCCGAATAGGAAGGTTTATGCACAGTTGCAAGACTCTGGAGGACTCTACACCTTGATGTCCGTGGGACTCCAGAGGCACCAGCAGCTTCAAATATCTGTTTGCTGCTATGTAATGGTATTTTAGCAGCTGCTGTCTTGATCCGATGCATGTATCTGGCAGAAATCTTCCTCAATGTGCCTTTATTTGCACGAACCCGTTTGTGCTCTGAATCAGCCACAAATGTGTTAATAGTGCGATGATCACGCTTACATTTTCGTGAAATATCTAATGTTTTCATACCTCGTCCAAGGCATTGAACTATTTCACTCTTTTCGGCAGCAGAGAGATCCTTTTTTTTCCCCATATTGCTTGAAAATGGTGCTCTGCTTAATAATGTGGAACACCCTACTTTAGTAGTTTTTCCTTAAATTGGGCTCACCGGCCAATCTAATTATCACAGGTGTCCGAGATTGTTTTCAGTGATCAAAAGAGCCCTGAGACACAATGCCATCCATGTGTTAAACTGAAAAACAAATATTTAATCTTTGTGACACTTAAATAGAATTTGCATAATAATTTGGAACAGGGTGTAAGCTTTGACAAACAAAACTGGAACTGATTGATTTCTATGCACAGCTGCACCAGATTTTGTACTCTCCACTTTTAGTAAATCAACCCCATGGAGTCCATAAGTGAAGCAGGAACCAAACCCCTGGAATTTGGGTCCCCCCATTAGTGGTTTTTGAATGGTGTCAAGAATATGGGGCATTCAGTACGGTGTGTGACTAAACTTATATAATGTTTTATTTGGACATAACGAATGGCTTCCCTTGCTTGCTTTCCTTGGTTCCAGTGCTCCTGCAAGTATTGAAGGTATTTGATGCCATCATTGGTTAACATTTCATATATACAGTATGTCTGACCCCTTTCATAAGCCACCGCGAAAAAGCTATGGAGATTTCATAACCAGGGGGAAATAGAGGGGTATCTAGAATTCCCAACAAGGGCAAATGAGAGGAGATAAGGTTGCAGGGGAACATTTCACCAGGTCCTATTGCCGAAGGGACTGTAAGGGCTCCTTCACACTTGACTTTATTTCTAATTCTTGCCAAACACCCCTATAGCGTTTGACAGGCGTTAGACAGGCATTTGGGGAGCAGTTTTAACGCTCCTCAAACACTCCACAAATGCCCCATGACCAGTTTTGAGCCGGTTGCTAGGCGTTTGCCAAATGTTAAAACTGCACCACAAAAGCCTATAATGCAGTTAAATGGTATTAACGCTCCGCAACCACCTCGCAACCGCCTCGCAACAGAGGGACAACCGCACCGCAAATGTCTGCCAGGCGTTTGCAGAGCAGCTCCATAGACTTGAATAGGAGGCTTCAACTCCTCCTGACTCGATACGAGGCATCAGTTTTGCCGTGACGCAACGTGACGCTAACGCTTCAGTGTGAACAGGACTGTGTGCTGCCATGTGCAGAATTTTCATAAAAAAAACACTTCCCAAATGCCTGTCTGACGCCTGCTGACAAAGCTAGTGTGAACTTAGCCTACTAGAGAGAAATCAGAAATCTCTGGGGAAGAGGTGTCCAAATTAAGTTTGTATATAGGGAATGAAGAACATTTGGTGATGGTTAGGTGGGCCCAGATAGGCATTTCCGTAGTGGCATGTTGCTAGGTCCTGTATTTTCTGCAGTTGGAAGTTTCCCCGACCCTGGCTCCATGGGTGAACTTAATCTGTATGTTGGTTTTTTTTTAAAGCCATTCTCCTCAAGCAATTTAACAATATGCTTTTCATGTTAACTGTCTGCTATATTTACATTGATGTGGATAATTTCTGTGGTGCTCTACTCATTATAAATGTTCATTGATGATTTTTGACACCTACCAAAAATAAAAGAATAAAAAAAATTTTTATAAACTCCCCATCCCTCCTTCCGTAGCCCCTAACCAATTAGAAACTAACCCCAATACAAAATGCAAATTATTTAAAAAAATAAATGGCTGTCTGATTAACCGCTTCCCCTCCGCCCTATAGCGGAAATACTGCTACAAGGCGGCAAGGCTGCGCAAAATCATCTGTATATATATATGTGTGTGTGTGTGTGATTTTGCATTTCTGTGAAGGGGGTGCACTAGCCACGCACGCGCCCTACCAGCACTGCCATTCACGGCCTCGAGTCCCGGCTGGTGATTACTCGCCAGCACCCAGTGATCACCGAGTATTATAAACGAGGGAGAGATCTGTGTATAAACAACACAGATCTCTCCCGTCAGCTCCTGCACACTGCTTTGTATGATTCTGCATAGAAGAGCCATACAAAGCAGTGTGCTTAAATAGAAGCACACACACAGCACATAATGTGAAACCGCACACAACAAACAGTTAACCCCTTCCTGCCCAGTGCCATTAGTGTCAGTGCTTTGTATTAGCACCAATCACTGTATTGGTGTCACTGGGAATGTCAGAAACACCAAGTCAGTTCCCCCCAGTGTCAGAATGCCTGCCACAGTCCTGCTATAAGTCGCTGATCACCGCCATTACTAGTAAAATAAAAAGAAAAATTCCAGTATATATACCGCCATTTGTAAATGCTATAACTTTCACATAAACCAATTAATTTACATGTATTGAGATTTGTTTTTGGTTTTTTTAGCAATGACATGTAGCTAAACATTTTGGTCTAAATTTATTTATTTATTTTGATTTTTAAAATTTTTTTACCGGACATGTTTAATAGCAAAAAGTCAAAAATATTGTTTTTTTTTTCTCAAAATTGTCGGTCTTCTTTTGTTAATAGTGCACAAAATAAAAAATGCACAGGAGATCAAATACCACCAAAAGAAAGTTTTATTTGTGGGAAAAAGAAACGTAAATTTCAGTTAGGTACAGCGTTGCATGACCGTGCAATTGTCAGTTAAAATAATGCAGTGCCACATCGCAAAAAATGACATGGTCAGGAAGGGGGGAAATCCTCTTGAGAGCAAGTGGTTAAAGTAATTTGTGTACTGTAAGTCACATATCCCAGGAGGCATAGTCCTTCATTGAGAAAGGAGAAGGGGGTGGGACCTAGCGGCTCATCACCAGAGAACTGCCAGCTGAACCAGGAAGAGTCAGCAGCTTCCTGATGAGGTCCATAAAGAAGATGGTGGTGTGGGACCCAGCAGGGGGCAGAAGAGAAGCAGATCTCAGCAGAACAATGCTGGATTAGTTGGGTGGATGAGTACTTTAACCACTTACCTACAGGTCACTTATACCCCCTTCCTTCCCAGGCCAATTTCCAGCTCTCAGCACTGTCACACTTTGAATGACAATTGCGCGGTTATGCAACACTGTACCCATATGACATTTTTATATTTTTTTTGTGACAGATAGAGCTTTATTTTGGTGGTAATTAATCACCTCTGGGTTTTTATTTTTTTCTTAAACAAACCAAAAACCACTGAAAATTGTGAAAAAAAAAAAATTTTTTTTTAGTTTTTGTTATAAAATTTTGTAAATAAGTGATTTTTCTCCTTCACTGATGTGCGCTAATGAGGCTGCAGTGATGGGCACTGATAAGATGCACTGATGGACACTGATAGGTGGCACTCATGGGCACTGATGAGGAGGCACTGGTAGGTGGCACTGATGGGCATTGACAGGCATAACTGATGGGCACTGATAGGCAGCACTGATAGGCGGCACTGATAGGCAGCACTGACTGGCACTGATAGGTGGCACTGACTGGCACTGTTAGGTGGCACTGACTAGCACTGATAGGTGGCATTGAGTGGCACTGATAGCCGGCACTGATTGGCAGCACTGATAGGTGGCACTGATTGGCATTGATAGATGGTACTGACTGGCACTGATGGGTGACACTGGAGGGCAACTCAGATGGGCACTGATATGTGGCATTGATGTGCACTGGTAGGCACTGATATGTGGCATTGATGTGGCAATGATGGGCACTGGCACGTGGCACTGTTCAGCACTGACAGCTGGCACTGATGGACACTGACAGGTGGTACTTCTGGGGCCACACTGATCATCAGGGCACACGGATCATCAGTGCCCTGATGATCAGTGTACATGTCCCCTCTGCGGAATGCCGATTACCAGCTCTCCTCTCGAGCTGTCAGCGTGACAGCTCGAGAGGAGAGAAATGCCGATAACCAGCATTTCCCTGTTTATATGTGATCAGCTGTGATTGGACACAGCTGATCACATGACCAAGCCGACATCTTCGGCTCTTTCCGTGGATCGGTGACCTGCTGTGTCCGAGAGACACAGAGCTTCGCCGATCGCTGTGCTGCGTGCTCCCTGAGTCGCGCATGCGCAGTGAGAATGGAAGGCTGTGAAAAGATGGCCTATCAGAGCGAGAGAACCACCTTGCGCCCGTTAGTGGACTATATGGCGGGTGGGAGGTGATTAAATCTGCAGAACCCGCAAAGAGTAAGGATGCATTTAGTTTGAAGATCCGCTTTAAATTACAATATGACTTCCCTAGCAACTGTATATGCTAATTTATTTTTTTTTATTTGCTATATTTTTCCTTTATATTTTAGCCATAATGCTAAATTACTTAACAAATTTTCAAACCCACTTCAAATAAATACAATTCTTAAAATAAAAATGTGTGCCTAATATGTGTTGGCTTATCCATACACAGTTATTTCGGCAGTTGGTTTACAAATTATTTAACCAGCATCAGAACAGCATTAGCCCAGCAAACACACATAGAAACTCCCCATGGCCTGTGAACTCAATGCCAGGTTTTCCTCTGTCAGAAGACAGCACTCACATTCACAACAATTTTGCCAAGTTTCCTTATCTGGTACAGAGTCATAGCTTACCATATATAGATGTCTATACACAGATAGTTTGTCTATCTTATTCAAGCATTCAATAATTCTGAAGAGCACAAATAAACATGCTGGAAGATATACAATATGTGGTCATTTCTGTAGATTTTTGTCTCTTTAATCATTTATTTCAGGAATTTTTAGTTAGAACCAATAATTTACACAGCACTTTACATACAGTATTGTACATTCACATCAGTTCCTACCCTCAAGGTGTTTAAAATCTATGGTCCTACTTCACATGCATACATATACTGTACAGGACAGGTAGCCAATTAACCTACCAGCAAATCTACACATTTACAATTACAATGTAAAGAACCACACATTAAACCTTATTTTACGTACAAAGGAACAACATAATCACATGTCTCCACATGCTTGTTTGTGTAAGATAACGCAAGTATTTTGGCAACAATACATCTATTTATTAATAAAATTAGTAATCAACGATGTGTTCTCCCAGTAACCCCTGGAACTCAGGGATCAAATTAAGAAAGAGCAAGACCAACATCCCTGGATCTTATTAAAACTTTTTGGAGAACCTCCAGGTAGTGTAGGTAAGCTGAAAAAGAGGGAACATAGAATTTTTTCCACTTGGATAAGGTAGGAGGGACAGGTGTTTTCCACAGAATTAGATTAATTTTTTTTTTTTTGCATAATAATGCAATGTTCTTAATACTTTTTTAGCGTGGATTGTAATGAGAACATTTTCCATCAGCCCCAAGAAGCACACTTTTACATCAGAGAAGTCTAAGGCAATTTTAATGTTCCTTTTTGTGTCCAAAGGGATTGGGACAGAACTAGATAGCATGAATAAAGGCAGAAACAGAGTGCGGAGTGTCCACATTTTTGAGTATACAACTGCATAGGAGTACACCCTGTCTTGTGGTATAATTTAAGCTGGATCAATTTATCCTTTAGAAGGGATGACAGAAGTCATCCCAATCGTCCACCACTAATAGTGGTATAATCTTATGCTATTTGGAGTGACTTTGGGATTCCTTTTAATTAGTCAGGAATTCCACATAGTATTTGGAGATCGATTTGGAGTTGTCAGGTGACAGTAAGAGTTATTCCAGAGATATTTGCTTAAACTGGACTGCAAGGGTTTTAAATTGGCCAAAAATGCATGTTGTAGTCAGTAATAACAGAAAAATTTAGTAGAAAGAATATTGAAGTGTGATTGCACAGTACAGACGTCTTTGAACTTTCCCTCATGGAATAGTTGAAATACTTACATACATAGTTACTGTACATAGTTAGCCTGGCTGCAAAAAGACAAAAGTCCATCCAGTTCAACCATAAAAAAAAAAAAAAAGTTATAATCCTACACCCACAGTTGATCTAGAGGAAGGCAAAAAACCAGCAAAGCATGATCCAATTTGCTCCTGCAGGGGAAAAAATTCCTTCCTGATCCCCCAAGAAGCAATCGGATATTCCTTAGATCAACTTTACCTATAAATGTTAGTATCCAGTTATTTCTGTGTATTCAAGAAAGAATCCAGGCCTTTTTTAAAGCAATCCACTGAGCTGGCCAGAACCAACTCTTGAGGGAGCCTATTCCACATTTTCACAGATCTTACTGTGAAGAAACCTTTCCGTATTTGGAGATTACATTTCTTTTCCTCCAGACGTAAAGAGTGCCCCCTTGTCCTCTGTGATGACCTCAGGGTGAATAGCTCTACACCGAGTTCACTATATGAACCGCTGATGTATTTATACATGTTGATCATATCCCCCCTTAATCTCCTCTTCTCAAGAGAGAATAAATTCAGTTCCTCTAATCTTTCCTCATAGCTGAGTTCCTCCATGCCTCTTATCAGTTTGGTTGCCCTTCTCTGTACTTTCTCCAGTTCCCCAATGTTCTTTTTGTGAATTGGTGCCCAAAATTGAACTGCATATTCCAGATGAGGTCTTATTAATGATTTGTACAGGGGTAATATGATATCTCTCTCTGGAGTCCGCTCGCTTTTAGAAACCGCAGCTTGGCATTGCATGCCATTATTAAGTTTATGATCTACCAGAACTCCCAGATCCTTCTCCACCATTGATTCCCCCAGTTGTACCCCCCCCCCCCTAGTATGTATGATGCATGCATATTCTTAGCCCCCAAGTGCATAACCTTACATTTATCGACATTAAACATCATTTGCCACATAGTTGCCCAATTAAACAGTGCATTGCTATAAACACATATAAACTTAAGATTTAAGGAGGACCAATACCCTGCATTAGGTACTGATAGTATTTCAGGGAGAAAATTGTTTCTCCAGATAAGAATATTTATGGAATCAGACCAGTTGGTAGAATATATGGAGGTACTGACAAAACAAAGAAGTGTGATTGACATTTTAATGGTAGCTTGTATATTCACTATGGTTTGTCGGTATACAGAATTCTGTAATCGGGGCTGGGACAGGGTGTGGGTGGAAGGGGTGACTGCCCTGGGCGCAGTGGTTTGCTGTAGGTAAGGCTGGCAGGAGTAGTCACAGTGGCACTGGTTTTGACAAGTGAGTGACTGCTGGGTGTAGGATCCCCTAAACTTGCACATCATGGGGGGGGGAGAGGGGGGCACAGTTTGGCATTTTTACCCTGGGCACAGCATGACCCTATCCTGGCACTGTGTGTAAGGATTCAAAGGAAGACATAATAGCTGCCTCCACCACTGTTCCAGCATTATCCCTTTCTGGTCGGAGCCAGTCATGTATAGGGATCACTACACAAAAGGTACAGTTGGAAATCAGGAAATGCCAATCCAACTTGTTGAGACAGAAACAGGGGCTGACTGACAACTCATGGGGCCCCCGGGCAATAGGGGATCATGGGGCCCCTATGTCCTTGCCCAAACTCACAAAAGCCTATGAAAAAGGTACCAGGGGCATCTCATGGGGCCCCCTACTGACCCCGGGCAGTGCCCAAGTTTCCAAATGGTCAGTCCACCCCTGGACAGAAATTAGACAAATGAAAGAAGAGCATATGGAATTAATTTGTGCATTTTGATCAGATTTGCTCGACCCATGAGATCCAGATGTAGGGACATCCACAGTTTAGTAGGAGTAGGTCTATGAGAGGTATAAGATGGTAATCAAGTATTGTGAGATTGGGATCCCAATATACCAAAGTATTTAAATTTGTTTGTGATTTTTAATGGGAGCTGGAGTGAACATTGAGAGTAGTCTCAGGATCCAGGGGGAAAAAAACCTTCTCCTAATTAATCAGGGGAGATATGTTCTTCCAACAAGCTAACTTTATTGAGTTCCTTAACATTGGAAGAGTTTCTTGTTAACAGCACTACTGGCTCTATGGCCAAAGCAAAAAGGGTAGGAGAAAAAGCGGCAACCTTGCCTGGTACCTCTGTAGACTGGGAATGGTTCAGAGACAGTGTTATTAACTCTGATCCTTGCTTAAGGAGTATTTAGTAACTACCTAGTGAATAACTTTAGGGCCAAACCTCAGAATAACTTGTAGACCATTTTACACTTTTAAAAGCTTTATGGGTATCTAGAGATATGATTGCTCTTCCCACCACATGAGGATAGGGGAATTGTAAATTTGTAAATAACCTACAAATGTTCATGCAAATGGATCTATTGAGGGTAAAACCAACTTGATCCAAACCCACCAGGCCTCATGCATATCTATTTAATCTCAAAGCCAGAGCTTTAGCTAGGATTTAGATGTCTGTATTAATAGGACATATAAGGCGGTATGAACCGCATTGGATTGGATCTTTCCCCAGTTTCATATTAAGTACTATCAAGGCTTCTCTCAAAGTATCTGGTAATATGCCCTTATCGAAAGCTTCTTTGAAGGATTAAAGGAGGGGGTCACTAAGTTGGGTGTGACATTTCATATACAAATCTGAAGCCATCTAAACCTGGGGATTTTTTTGAGGAAAGAGTATTGATGGCATGTATTCCTACTGAGGTTACCTATGGGTTTTTCTTTGTATCCTGAACAATTCTTCTGGCAGTTGTGGCTGCAATCTTTCTTGGTCTACCTTACCTTGGCATGGTATCAGGAGATCCCCGAATTTTTCACTTCTTAATAAGTGCTTGTATAGTACTGACTGGCATATTCAAGGCTTTGGATATCTTTTTATATCCTTTTCCATCTTTATAAAGTTCCATGTTCCTTGTTACTCAGGTCTTTTGACAGTTCTCTTCTGCTCCCCATGGCTGAGTATCTAGCCTGCTCAGTGCATCCACAGGAAAGCTAACAAACTCATTGACTATACACAGACACTAATTGCAATTTTAAAAAACCACAGATGTGGAAATTAACCTTTAATTGTCATTTTAACCTGTGTGTCACCTTTTGTGTCTGTACCAAGACCAAACATTTCAGGGTATGTAAACTTTTGATCAGGGACATTTGGGTGATTTCTGTTATCATTAGGATTTTAAAAGGAGCCAAAAAACTATGTGATAATAAAGGCTTCATATGATCACTATCCTTACATTGGTTGTAAAAGCTCAAGGTTTTTTACCTTCAGAC